GTACAGATGGGAACTGGAAACACAGGGAATCTAGGACAGATGAACCCCTCAGGACCAGCGGTGACAGTGGCGGTACTGGGAGGGAAGGCGGGGTAGAGAGGGGGAATCGATCACAAGGATCTACATATAACCTCCTCTCTGGGGGATAGGCAACAGAAGGTTGGGTGAAGGGAGACGCCGGGCAGTATAAGATAAGATATAATAATAATTTATAAATTATTAAGGGTTCATGAGAGAAGAGGGAGCGTGGAGGGAGGGGGAGGGGAGAAAGGAAAATGAGGAGCTAATTCCAGGAACCCAAGTGGAAAGCGAACTTTGAGAATGATGAGGGCAACAAATGTATAAGTGTGCTTTACACAATTGATGTATGTATGGATTGATGAATTGTATGAGCCCCAATAAAATGATTTAAAAAAATACAAAAAATAAAATCTACTTGAACTCTAAAATTAAAAAGTGAGTTCATTAGCTCCCAAAGGCTTTAGTGAATAAAGATTCTGAATGAGCGCCATTGGTGATACACAGAGAGAAGAGAACAATTATAAAATTTATTTCTTAAAAAGTAATCTTGCTTTTTATATTGCTGTTGTTTGTTTTCATTATAATTTGGCCCTTTCTAGTAATAAGATATTTTTAAAAAGTTAACAACAACAAAAAAGACATGAAGGAGACGAGGAAACAAGTGGATATATAAGTGGAAAACTGTTAGAGGCAGAGAGAAAATTACCTGCGAAATTCTTGGGGTGGAAATGCCTAAATATTTGTGGAAGAGCTTTGTGGCCAGGGTGGATGGAGCTGGGTGGGTGACATCAGGTCAGAGAGGTGACAGAGGTTAAGATCTGCATACAGGTTTGTAAAAGAATAGCTTTTATTCTGAGTGAAATGAGATGTTGTTGGGGGTTGCGGGTGTTACGCAGAGGATTGACATGATATGACTTAAAGTATAATCTGGTTGCTATGTCGAAATGGGGAAACAGTAGAATGTAGAGATCAATTAGGATGTTTAGCAGTTTTAGTATACTGAAATATTGGTTCTAATTCTTCTCTTTCCTGTAATGGACTTAAAGTGAGAGAGACAGAGATAGAGCAATAATCTGGGATAACTGCCCAAATTAGAAAATGAATGCCACGACCTTGAAGACATTGCCATAACCATCTGTCATTGAATGGAAAATATCTTTTGGGTACATCTCTGTTGTAAAGCCTAATAATGGCTCAGACAGGGAAAGGCAATAATGTATCTGAAATAAAAATACTTTTCAGAAAGGATACATCCTAGCCCAAGGAAAGGGCCTAAGTGTTCATAAGGAGAACACTTGTAAAGATATATCACGTGGCTGGTTTTAGAAGCTTCTCATGTCTTAGCCACTGAGGGATATAACTGAGCTTTGGGGAACAGTGGTTAGTGTAAGATTGTGAGCTCTACCACAGAAATCAAAGCTGCAGGGAGTAATCAGAACAAGCCAGCACATCACCTCAATCTGCTGGACTATGTTACATCATTATGTCAGAAAATGTCAGCATTTTGAAATTATCCGTCTCTGCTCATTCTCTCCATTTTGTATTGGGATGGACTATATGGTCTAAGATGTGAACCCCTAGTTTGTTATATAACAAAGGATGAAAAAGCTTCATGAAAGAGGGTTTGTATTTTCTAAAAATAGGCACCAGAGCTGGAATGGTTTATTGAACAATAACAAAATGAGAGTTCTGAGTTTGTGAAACAGGTATACTATTTAGGCATTAAAGAAACTTGCGATGCTTTAGCTGACAATGAGAGTACTAGAGTTATAATTTTAAAAAAAATCGGGAACTAAACTTACTGCCATCAAATTCATACAGACTCATAGCAATCGTATAGGACAGGGTAGAATTTCTTCTTGCGGGTTTCTGAAACTATTCATCTTTATGAGAGTAGAAAGCCTCAACTTTTTCTCTTGGGAATTATGATGGATTTTGTTTTTTTCAATGATCATGTATTAAGTCTTGCTGTATGGGGCTCTGAAGAGTAAGACAAATGGAAGGCTAAGCTGCATGCATATAAGAACCAATATTCAGTACTATATTCAAGAATATGAACAGTATCCAACATGCTTTAAATATATAAATGAATGCGTGCATGACACCCAAAAACCGATGGTTGAAATACTTTAAGGAGGTAAATTTCAGACTCAGTTTATCTTAATATTAATTTAAGCTATCAAAAACTTAAGTGAACTACTCTTAAAAGATTGTCTAAAACAAAAACGATTGTCTATTGCTAGGAGTCAAATAGCTACAGAATCATATTTTCAGGGTGTTATGGAAAGTATTTATTCACTGGATAATGGTTAGAACTATATAATCTTTGTGATCTGTAAGACTCAGACACTCAATTCTGTAAGGGGCCTCCAAAATGTTCATGGATTTTGAATGGAAAGATAATAGAATTTCCCCACAAACTTTTTGAAATCTCTTATTAATCAATGAACCTCTATACATAAGTTTGGGAGAAATAGTAATAATACTTATAATCTCAGAGAAATCTTCAAGTGGCATGTTTATTAGACAAATGCTCACGACAGATTTTCACAACAGCAACAAATGTTTTCTGACTACATCTAATCTCCCTTACTAAGGAAAAAAAATGACAATCTCACACAGGTTGATGAATTTCTTTTTTTCATGTTTCCTGGAATGAAAGCAGTCTCTTCAAGCTGTTTCCTCTTCTTCCTCTTCTTCCTCTTTTTCCCCTTCACCTGACTTCATCTTCTTCACCTTTTCTTTGGCTAAATGTCCCCGATAGACTGATTGAATTTTGAGGGCAGCAAGCTCCTCTTTTTCCTTTTCTTCCTCTGAAGATTCCTTTGAAAAAAGGAAAAGTACAAAACTTGTTAAATGCTCCTATTTTTGATCCCATAATAAATGCATACATTTTATCAATTTAGGGATACAGCAATCTGAGATCTGCGGCTTCCTAAGGGAATTTTCTATACTGTCACATTGTAAATGAACCAAATGGTGAATGCCAGAATAGCAGGCATTTTGTTTTGTCACTTTTTAATATGTCTCTGCAATAAGACATCACTGCCAGCTCTTTTTTTTCCTTTTTTGTCAAAATAGCTCCTATTTAACAGTTTCCTTAGCAATAATATTTTGGGGAGAAATAGGAAAGAATCCTTGAAACTGGTAAAAATGTCAAGCAGAATAGTAAATGTGCTGTCTTAAAATAATCATAATTACATAAGACAGATTAGGATGT